TAAACAGAAAGACTTCGTTTTCATTTTCTTTTTAAACTTTCCCAAAATGTTGAAACGTTTCTTTCATTACTGTCAGAATTATGGCCGAACAGTTACAGTAGATTCAGTGCAGAGCAGTGATGAAGAATGCTCAGGCGGGTTAAACTGACTGACCCAACATTAAGAGCCTAAATCTGACCCAGTGGGACCAAATGCACATGCACCTTGTTGAACATCATGTTTTAGTTTCAAATCTACAGCATCTAAAACACAAGCAGTACGCGTATGTCCCCTGTCGCGGACAGATTTGAGTAATGAACGTTTGTAGTTTTGGAGATGAGTGTTTTTCTGGACTGGAATTGAACAGAGAATCTAAGTAAACCTAAATGTTGGTGCAAGATGTTCAAGTGGGGAGTTACACTGGAGAAGAACAGAGGGAGGTTTGTTTTTCTTGTAGGAGGCAGAGCAGAGTCATGGATCCTGGAAACTGGAAGGAGCAATTTTATCCACCACAAAGTGCAGTGGAGGTGTCAGGGGGTGGCTAACGGTGGCCTTGGCCACCACAGATTAATCTTTGGCCACCCCAAGGGCCACACCAAGCATTTAAAGAAACTATACTTTTGAGCAATATAAAAGCTAGAAAGCGTACTTTCTTCAAATGATTGGGGTGGCCAGTTCACACACACACGCACGCACGCACGCACGCACGCACGCACGCACACTATATAGAGTGTTTCCCCTACTATTGTTCAAGCGAGGCGCCCTGCCCCATTAACAGAAACAAGTGCCCTGCCTATCGAACCAAGCTGCCCCCCCACACACACACACACACACCCCCGTCGGCACCACTGGCGTAACACAATACAGGCACGATAGCTAACAAGCTAAAGGCAGCACCTATGCTGCCTCTTCCCTCACGCTGGGAACCCCCCTCCCCCGCGCGAGCTTGAAAACTGCCCGTACAAACAGCGCACAGCTCATCTGTATCCCCCGCCCTCGAAAAAAATCACGGATGAAACGAGCGCCCCGCCATTAGAGCTGGGCAATATCTCAATATTTTTAAAACATCTATTTTTTTTTTTTTTGCGATAAGAGAAGAGACTATATCAACATAAACAATATAGTTGATGCTAACGCCGCCTTGAACAAAAGGTCTTTATACTGTTTAATACTAAGAGTATTTTTATTTTCCCAGTTCATGAGTATAGTTTTTGTTGTTGCTATACATAAAGCAGTAAAAATCATGTGAATTGATTTTGTCTCCAAGGTGACATCATCTAAGTGGCCCAATAAGCAAACTGACGGAGAGAGTGGAATATTACATCTCAGACACTTTGATAACGTCTTCACATATCTGATCAACAGCAGAACAGAAAACAGTAAAAATAATTAAAAAAATTAAAAAAGAAAAGAAAGGAAAAAACAAATAAACAACAAACAAACAAACAAACAAAAAGAACAATAGCTGTGACACCGTTCACCACCACCAGTGCGGACACCTTACCGAGCTGTGCTTTACACTTTATTTACAAATGCCAGTTAATTTACCTCCAGTGTTACAAGCGTTAAACCAGGACTGCTCAACTAAACCACCCAGGGGGCCACAGTTACTGAAGCGCTCAGGGGTCAGATATCCACCGGCTCTTATCATTAAGTTACTTTGTTTTATAGTTCAAACTCTAGTTTCGTTTTAAGCGTGAACCCATTGGTGGACCGAACTTAGCTCACCTGTGGGCCTGACTTGGCCCGCGGCCCGTCAGTTGAACAGCCCTGCTTCAAACTAACCTGTTGTTCCTTTTAATAAAGACACGGAGTGACGTCCCGTTCCCTGAACAGCTGACCATTAATATAAAGTTTGTCTACAGCCACCGTGGCTCTGACGCCCTCAGACATGTATTTCTTCCTGATTGGAAACAAAACTCGCCTCCGATCGAGGATCTCTTTAGGAAATTGATCATTCATACTGAAGTCCGTCCCACGCAGCTCTCTGCCCCGACCTCTCACCTGCTCTTTTTGTTTAAAGTGCTCAAATTTAGCGATAATTGGTAGAGGTCGCTTGTTATTGGGTTTCTTACCTCCGAGCCGGTGAACACGATGGAATGTGATGTTTTTTGCCGTCTCACTTGGGAGTTTCAGCTGATGTTGGATAAACTCACGGATCGTAACTTCAGCGTCCTCCTCTGCTCGTTCTGGGATCCCAGAGAAGACAAGATTGTCCCGCATGCTCCGAGCTTGAATATCCAGGATGGACTCCTTCATTTTCCTGTTCTCTCCGGACAGCTGCAACATCTTCTCGGTGAGTTCGTTCTCTCTGAACAGCTGCGTCATCTTCTCGGTGATTTCTTTGACGTTACCCCTCAGAGTTTGGTTCTCTGCAGCGAGCGACGCCACCTGAGCTTGGCTGAACTCCAGAGACTCCCTCAGTGCTTGGAACTCCTTGTGGAGAACCTCCACCAGGGCCAGCCGGCCATCTAAGCTGGTTAGCTTCTTGTCTATAGAGCCCAGGACATCAGTGAAGCTTTCCTCTGGAGAGGTGACGTGCTGGTTGAGCTCTCTGAACGTGTGCATTTAGGAGTTGGTGTGGCCGTGGATGCGGTGTTTTTTTGTGGTTCACCCATCACGATGTTGTTAAAACACTCGTCCACGTAACTCTCCAGACTGTCCAAGGTTTCCTCGTCCAGTTTGGTTTATTGAAACAATATGCAGAGGTTATTATTAAGAATATTTATTATGTTTGATTGTAATATATTGGCTTGTTTTACCTGAGTCGAACCGTATTTGTTTAGCATGCCATGTTACTTACGCAGCACAGCTCAGTGACCTCAGCAGCTCCTCACCAGGTGCACCCAGTACCTGTCCCTCCTACAGTCTGCTGATGTAAAGTTAGCTGTCTTGTTAGCCACGAAGGACCATGTCTTTAGTGACATGATTAACCACTGCTTGATTAATGCCGTGCTACCTCCTCTCACTGTAAGACTTGAAAATCTGTGTACACTAGATCTTTTTCTGCCCATCCAACGTCACACAGCATCCTCCTCCTCCCTCGCTGAATACACGCAGACCTCACTGCTGCTTCACACGCGTGAAGGCGGCGTAAGCATGTGTGAAGCAGCAGTGAGGGGCTGCTGTTTGTATTCAGCGAGGGAGGAGGAGGGGCCACATGAAGTTGCACGGGCAGAAAAAGAAGAACTACAGATTTTCAAGTCTTACAGTGACAGGTAGAGCAACATTAATAAAGCAGCGGTTTATCATATCGTTAAAGACACGGTGCTTAGCAGCAGCTAAAGTTAGCCGTCTTGTTCCACAGTTGAGACTGGGACTGTGTGTTAAGCGATATGATAAGCTGCTGCTTTATTAATGTTGCTCTACCTCTCTGTTCCTCTCATAATCTCTCTTTCACTCTCGACGAAGACTGTTGCTCTTACCCTCTCTCCATTCCTCCTGCTTTTTTGCTCTCTTGTCCTGCCAACTTCAGAGCCTCTCTGCCTCTCTTTACATATCTTCTGAAGCAAAAATTATTATGAGTTTGGTCAGCTGGTCCCTCAACGCAACTGATAACATTTTTTCCAGCAGACGAGAGGGTGCTGGAGAGCCCTTATGCCCTGAACGGACCCATGCAGCTGGGTATGTCATTGATTCCTGGGAGGAGTGGAAGATGATGTGCCCGTCTGTTCTGTCCGTGGACGACGTAGAAGATGTTCACATTATTGGATTTATGATAACAGGGTTTCTGCTTTTTGGAATCGGCGGATACCTTGGATATCGACAAATTAGGAAGACATCGGCAGCAGTTTCGGCCTTTGTAAAGCTGCCAGGCTTAAGTGAAGGATTAATTTGTGCCTCGAGCGCTCAGACTCATATGCTTAACGAGCTCAACCGTAAGCTCGACACAATTTCTGAGAATCGTAGGCCATTTGCGGCTCCTGGAACTCAACGGCGTGAAGGATTTGATTTTGGAGCAAGCTACTCGAGCACAGATCGGGTGGAATGTCCACAAATCTGGCTGTTTGGATTCACCATTGTGTGCACCAGCAGAACTTGAAGGCAGACAGAAATCAGAGTATGGCAGCCCAAACAACTGTTTATCTGAATTTGGCCTCGCCACTGGCCTTGGACAGGCCAACTTATCTCAAATTGCTTCTGGAGGATACATAAACTAGAAGCTTCTGCTCGACACCCGTCACTCCCGAGGACATCTGTGGCCTTATCGGAACCATGATGCTGATAGACACTGTACCATCTTATCAGAACTTTGGAACTCCCTGGAGTGTTTATGGATCAGTCACCGTCTTTAGCAACCTCTATGCACAAATGTATCGTGATGTCATTTTATGTTGCTGTTTTATGTTGCAATTTTTGTTTTGCATCTTTTACACTGTTTCCCAGCCAGGACATGGTGTGACACGATCTTTTTTGGCTTCCTCCACCCTCGTGTTCTCTTTTTCTCATCTGCCTGTATGTTGTATGTAACGGGTCTCTCTTGTAAATGAGTCTTTGAGGCTCAATGGGATCTAACATGTATAAATAAAGGTATAATAATAATAATAATAATAATAATAATAATGATAATAATAATAATAATAATAATAATAATAATAATAATAATGATAATAATAATAATAATGATAATAATAATAATAATAAGGCACAGCATGGCTAAATGAGTTTTATACCATGGTTTGTCTCAGGGAAGAAGGCTGAAAACACAGTCGGAGCTACAGCTTATACCTTAACTTTCAAATTGTGAAAAAGATTTGTAGTTCTGAAATTTTGTCAGGACTTGGTTTTGGCACTGTCTACAGAATTTATTTATTTATTGCTGCTTATCTGACAATTTGAATCCAAACCATCTCTAAAATAACAGCCATTGTTTTTCTTTTTGTTCAGCAGCTCAGCTGCTCTTCGATATCTCCCGTTTACTTGTTGTGCTAAACGTCTCCTGCCCACCTGGTGAAGCAGGAAGCGGGGGAAGCGGGGGAAGCGGGGGAAGCGTGCGCCGCTGAAGGGCTGTGTGTTTGTTTTCAATGAGGGAGAAGGCGGGGCTGCGTGCAAATGAGCACAGACGGGAGAAAAAGAAGAACTAAACAGATTTTCAAGTCCAATTATAATGCAATTTAGAAATATAGATATAGACAATATAGTCCCATCTTATATTGTGTATGAAATTATCTTGACATTTAAAAAATATCAAGATATCGTCCAGTCCTAGTACATATATGCCTAAATAGGTTTGATAAGTATTTTGTATATAATTGAGGTATACAGTACTGGAATATATGTAGAGTTATATCAAATACATTTTTGAAGTATATTTAGAGATATAAAAATAATATATCTGAATAATCTTTCAATTATTTCTGATGTGTAACTGAGGTATGTTACATTTTGACAATATTTGACATATGTTTGGAGTTCTAGCATGATGAATATAGAAAACTGACTCTTCAGGATTTGTCTGAATCAAATGCTGGTCACAGACTAAGTCAAAGTTGGCAAAGAAGGTTGAGGTTCTAAAAAGCTCAGAGGAACGTGTTCATCAGTGTCAAAAAACATTATTGATAACTGACGTTATCTCAGGTTCCCAACATGTTTTGGGTCTTGACTAAAGACACACCGAGGATCACATAATAGAGTGACGCTTAAAGTTTGATTCTCTTCACATGTTCAGGTTAGAACTTGATCCAGGCATGGATCTCGACTGTGTTTGGAAAGTTGGCGGTCCTGATCTTACCTCTGAGCCTTGCTGTTTGCAGGAGGGCGGCTGACAGCCCGACACTGGGGAGTAGGGTTTGAGTGGGCTGGTTAAGCTCACAGAGCTCAGGGGACTGGCTGGACTGTTGGTGGTAAAGGAACCGCTGGTCACTGAGTGGGGACAGAAACAGTCAGGGTGTTCAGGACATAAAAACAACAGTTTCCAATAAATTCCTTTCAGAATTCACTCTGTTACCTCTGTGTTTGGCTGTGTCTGTGCCTCGCGATGAATGATTCTTGAGAAGTCCCTCTAGTGTATCCTGGACTCTCCAAAACTCCTTCTGGATGTGTCTATGAACCAGTTCACTCTGGGAAAATGTTTTAGAACAAATTAAATTAGGAAGAAAACGGATGTTATTTTCTAAAAACACTTCATGAAAATAACCTAAAATGTCTTCATACATGTGAAAAGGTAAGCATTATCATAAAAACTGTAATTTTAGACAAAAACATTTGACTTGATTTACAACAAAGTTGACATTGTTTTTTTAGTTCAATCAATTCGGATGATTTCTGTTGCAAATTCACAACAAAAGTCATCTCAGGGCACTGAACAAAAGCAGTTTCATAAAACATCAATTAGTGAAAGTTATCTAAGGAAAACAGCAGAATGGCTCGAATATTCTTTTCATCACATTAGCCCATCCAGAGTGGCACATTGACCACAGTGGAAAGAAACAACTCCTCTCGAACAAGAACATCCAACAGAACTGAGCTCTGGGCGGCCACCTGCCTCAAATAGGCTGTGTTTAGTGAGGACAGGAAAATGATAGAAAAACACAGAATGAATGGACCAGTTCAATTCAGTTTATTTATAAAGCGCCAAATCACAGCAAAGTTGTCTCAGGGCACTTTACAGGAACATTCACATAAAAGCCAGTTAGTAAAGTTCTCTATCTAAGGAATCCAGCAGACAAGTTGAATCTTGGCTTCGTTGCAGTCTCCCATCCTGAGCAAGCACAGTGGAGACAGTGGAAAGAAAAACTCCCTGTTAACAGGAAGAAACCTCCAGCAGAACCAGCTCAGGATGAGCAGCCATCTGCTTTGACCGGCTGGTTGAGAGGACAGGAAGGAGAGACAGACGAACACAGAATGGTAGGTCCAGGTATAGGTCCAGGTCCAGGTATAGGTGCAGGTGCACTCTAAAAAGAGAATAGTTGATCCAACTTAAATGAATTCTTTCAATTGATAACAAGTCATTCAATTAAGTATATCCAAGTTAATTTATTAAGTTTGTTTAATTTGACAAATGTGTCAGTTTTATTCAAATCATTTAGTTTATTTCATATGAAGAATTCAAATCCCTCTGACTTAACTTTATACAAAGTCAAAATGAACTATCCAAAAGTAAATAATCACCAATGTTATACTTAGGTAACGCTCTCACTTTGAGTTTATTCTCTGTCGCATGCATGCTGTGGGTGACAAGAGTCCAGAGCGTCACCAGCTGAGGAGGTGTCACAGCGACACGGTTCAATCACGGCTCCCCAAACAAAAAGACAGACATATTTGTTCATAACTTTATTATTAGTGAGTCTGAGAGTTGCCGGATTTTAGCAAACACTGACAAAATGAAAATGGTGCAAAAAAAAACCCTACTCCCTGCACAAAATGTTCCACGGAGTCACATGCCCCCCATTGCTTCGGGCCCCCCCAGGGGGGCGCGCCCCACTATTTGAGAAGGACTGGTTTAAAGGAAATAAAAAAGGCCAAAGATGTTTCCTTCTCCAAATGTGCCTGCGTGGTGAAAATGATGTAACTGTGATTTCAAACATTTCCTGCCGTGGTATTTTAACATCAGCATCTGATCCAGTCCCTGAAGAGCAGAACAGCTGTACAACTAAAGCAGCAGACACACTTTTGATTTGAGGGACAACTTGGAATAACATCCATCAGGATTAAAACCGTTTGGATTTTTAGGTACATGGGAAAATGTAACATGTTTTAAGAACCAGATGGAAACTTGAACCCAGTATGATTCCAAGTGCAGTCTTGTGGGGATGATGGTGTTACCTGTCCTCCAGCATTCAGCTGCTCCCACAGATCTTCATGGATGGCACTGGCCTCATCTTCTAAAGCTTCAAACTCCATCCGAACGGTGGTCAAAGCCTAAGACAAGGAGATTTTAATAAATAAGATAATCCTCATACATCTACAAATGAACACATCTCAACCGTTAAAACAACCGCAGGAATACAAACATTTGAAAAGACAAACTGCTGTCAAGTGCTTGGTTACATCAGGGACAATACAGTTGGACAAGGAGTTGATGTGTAGTCGTTGCTCCGCTACAAGGGGAGACACTAGTTCAGGGAACAGATATACTGTAGAAGAAACTGGTTTAGAGTTCTGCACCATTTCTGGTCACTTTTTGTCCGTGTGCTGCAGCAAGCACAGATCAGGATGCTCTTCTGGTGCCTGAGTGATCTTACATTGTGTTCATAATTCCCACAGCTTTCAAATCTGCAGCCATCACCCCCATCATCAAGAAACCAGGTCTTGACTTTACCAGCTTCAGTAATCTTCGTCCAATCTCTAATCTGCCCTTTATTTCCAAAGTTCTTGAAAAAGCCGTTGCTAGTCAACTTCACTCTCACCTATCCAAAAATAACATTTATGAAGAGTTTCAATCTGGTTTTCGCCCCCACCATAGCACCGAAACGGCTCTAATAAAAATAACTAATGACCTTCTTCTTGCTGCTGACTCTGCTCTTCTGTCTATCCACATTTTACTGGATCTAAGTTCTGCCTTCGACACAATCTGTCATTCTATCCTCCTCGACAGACTAACCTCCATTGGCATCTCGGGTACTCCGTTAGACTGGTTCAAATCTTATCTCTCTGACCGCACTCAATTCATTCAGCTCAAATCCTTTCGTTCCCAGTCTTCCCCCATCTCCACGGGTGTCCCCCAAGGCTCTGTCCTCGGACCCCTCCTCTTCATCATTTACCTCCTTCCTCTAGGTCACATCTTCCATAAATTTGGTGTCCATTTTCACTGTTATGCTGATGACACACAGCTCTACCCATCAACAAAACCAAACTCCACCCACCCACCCTCCATCCTCACCGACTGTCTCAATGAGCTAAATCACTGGTTTTCCAACAACTTTCCACAACTAAACAGTAAAAAAACAGAAATCATTCTTATCGGTACCAAAAACTCTCTTTCAAAATCAGAAAATCTTCTCATCCCCCTTAACAACTCCCTGCTATCCCCCTCGCCTCAGGTCAAGAGTCTTGGTGTCATCCTCGACACCACTCTCTCCTTCACTTCACATATCAACAATGTCACTCGGTCTGCCTATTTCCATCTCCGAAATATTAACCGTCTCCGCCCTTCTCTCACACCCCGCTCCACAGCTATCCTTGTTCACAGTCTTGTGACTTCTCGGATTGACTACTGCAACTCCCTTCTTTATGGCCTCCCCAACAAATCTCTCCAGAAGCTGCTATTGGTCCAGAACTCAGCTGCCCGTGTCATCACTCAAACCTCCTCCTATAACCACATCACTCCAGTCCTGCAGCAGCTCCACTGGCTCCCGGTTAAATCACGCATAGTCTTCAAAATTCTTCTTCTCACTTTCAAAGCTATCCACAACCTTTACCCTCCGTACCTGTCTGACCTCCTACACATCTCCATCCCCTCTCGCTCTCTCAGATCCTCCTCTTCACTACACCTCCATGTACCCTCTGCCCGCCTCTCCACCATGGAGAGCAGGGCCTTCACCTGCTCTGCTCCTCATCTCTGGAACTCTCTACACCCTGACTTAAGAAACACCACCTCTCTTTCTCTGTTCAAGACTGCTCTGAAAACACATCTCTTTAGACTCGCTTATCCTTAACTCTGCTGTATGTATTTTATATTCTTTACGCATTTTATATTCTGTATGTATTTTATATTCTTTACGCATTTTATATCCTGTATGTATTTTATATTCTTTATGTATTTTATATTCTTTATTCATGTTGATCTTTGTTCTTACTGTAAAGTGTCCTTGGGTGTCATGAAAGGCGCTTTTTAAATAAAATGATTATTATTATTATTATTATTATTATAATCTGTATTTGCATGTTCCTTAAAAAGCACAGGGTTCCTCGTTGTTCCTCATTTATAAATAGTAGTTTGTGCACAGGAAAATGTTACTGTTGTTTATGTGACGATGTGAACTTTTTATTATCAGTAAAATTCTGCACAGATGGACTTGTTGGGTTTTAGAACCATAAATACAACAAAGTGGCATGTGAAGAGTGCTGGTTTGACTTGTGGGTAGCTGTCACAAAGGTGAAGTGATCAGTGAAAGGAGACGGGGAGTAAATGGATGAGAAGGTGGGAGACAACTGAGCTTAAATGAAACAGGGAACAGGTGAGAGTGGGCGTGGCAGGACTGAGGAGGAAGAGTTGAACTGAGGAAGAACGGCTGATAACAGGTAAGGAAACAGAACACAAATCGTGCCGTTTGCACTCTTACACTGGAGGCCTGGGAGAGCTCCCCTCTGATGTTGATGAGCTGGTTCTGCTGACTTTCCTTCTTCAGCTGCAGTTTGTCCATGATTAAAGGCTGGTTGTGATAAATCTCCATTTCCTGATGGATCGCCACCAGTTCATCCTCAAAGTTGTCCTGGGAGCCATCACATCATAACAAAAACAAAAAGTTTTAAACACGTTTCCTTGTTTTTGTCAAAAATGTCAACACACAAAGATTTGAGACTTAGTCTTAAATAACTGAAGTGAGCTTCTGTTAGAACTAGCTGTATCCTTACAGTAGAATTTAATTTTAATTTTATAACTTTTATTTAACATACATTAATAAACACACACGCCCTACATTTGAGTTTGCTTTTTAATATGAATAAATTATATAACTCTCAAAAAATACATCAGAACGATGAAGTTAAATAGGAAAAAAAACTAGTTTAAAATTAATTTAAAATGTAAAACAATGTAAAACTACATTCATTCAACCTTTATTTATACAGGTTAGTCTCATTGAGCCTCGAGGACTCATTAACAAGAGAGCCCTGGTTTAAACAAAAAACACAGAAGAGGTACAGACAACAGCAGACAGTCATATAAAAAGCAGATAAAATGAAAAGTAAATAGAAGAAATTATATACAAACTAAACAAAAACAGACGCATTATAAAGTGATATAAAATACTAAAAACAGGAACATGTCTGCACTGGTTTTCGCCATGAACTTAGCAGATGTTTAAAATCCCTTCAAGAGGTCTAAGTCGACAACTTTAGATGTTTTTGCAACATATTCCAGGAAACAGGAGCGGAGTTGAGAAGGTCCTTTGACCTAGTTCAGTCCTCACTGAGGGGACACTGCAGGTAATGATGTCCTGAGAGCGCACGCCAAGGGCGTCAGAAGCATCCGTAATGTGTGTGTGGAGGGGAAACAATGATGTGTGCAGATGTGCGTGTGTGCACGCGCGCGTGCATGTGTGCGCGTATTAAAAAAAGGTGTTCACTAGTGAACAAAAAAGCAACATTTCACCTAAATTTCCTTTAATTCCACACATTTAAAACATGTTTCTCACCAAGTTTGTGTAAATTCAGCTGTGGGTTTAAAGTAATTTTAACTTTAATGCACCTGAACACACAGCGTCTCTTACACCTGCAGCGTCTCACAGCGTCACAGTTACTGCTAAGATGCTACAAATCAAGAATCAAGAGAAGTCTATATTCAGAATTATTACTTTAAAACCCCATCAGCTTATTCTGAAGACCCATAAACAAGTATTTTCCCCTCAATTTAACTTCAATAATCAGAGGTATTACTGTAGAACGGTCACTTTATTCAAACTAAAACTCCTGTTAAATTCCAGTTTGCAAGGCAACAAAATACAAAGAATGGCAAGCAGAAAAATATACGTTGAATAGGCATTGTATATAGACAGTGTGCCCATGCCTACAGGGATGTGTATGTTTATACGCTATATATTTTAGTGATGGTTATTCAGATGATCCCTCTAAATTACATGTCAAACCTTATTAACCTCTTATCTGGGCCCCTAAGATGATATTTCAAATGTAAAATATTTTTATAGCTTTTCATTTTACTTTCAAAAACTGATATTACTTCATGTAGTGCAGACTTCTTATAACTGGGGAACTTTGGAGGCAGAAAAAGTTAGATTATTTCAGTAATCTTTGATCTTGATGTGCAAAGAACAACAAAGAAAGTCAAATGAAAGCAGTCAAGCTACTGTTGATGAACCATGCAACCAAGAAAAGATGTCAGGCATCAGACTGGAGTAAACGGATCGTCTGAAATTGGCGTGCGGCTTGGACCAGGTTTTTATTTTTGTATTTGTAACTGAGTTTGACAGGCCTGCTGTAAATGCATGCCTTGTACATGCTCAGTCTGAGTGAATCTGCAGCTGCTGGTGTCGGCTGGAGTCAGTACTCAGATTACTTTCTGCTCAGTAAACATGTTCTTATCTGGGAACTTTCTGTTTTCTGTCATAGACTCAATCATAACTCCCATAGTTTTATAGTTCTACGTACCACTCCTCCACATACGCACACACAAATGTAATAAAGTTCAAAACGCAGGATGCATATGAACACGGATGAGAAATCATGTACCTTTTCCATTCTCAGTCTGTGGATGACAGCCTCATGTTCTTTCAACATCCGACTGAGCTCACACAGTCGGCCCAAAAGTTTCTGTCACACAAAGAAACATGGTTTGTTTGTGATTCTCACAAGGTAGAAGTTAAAATGCAATGCCAGAGTAAAGGACCAGTGTGAGCGCCACGGCAGGCCAGAGACGTCTCGATGCAGTCAAACACCAAAATGGAAGTGAGCACATGCCAACTTTTTCAAGTTATTATGCACACAACATGCACTATTTTGGTCTACTTATGCTACTTTTAGTTTACTGACAGCCTTCAGCTACTTTTACTGATTAATTTATGGATTACTAGTGCAACATAAGAATCGTTCCGTTTGTATCTGGGTGACAGGAGTTTTTGTGTTAATTTTGATAGTAGTTTATCTGCTTCAGTGCCTCTTTCCTGTGGGGTCCCACAGGGCTTGATTCTTGGACCCCTTCTGTTTTCATTGTATCTGCTCCCCTTGGGGCCTATCCTGAGGAAACATGGTTTTTCGTTTCATTGTTCTGTCAGATTTATCTGCCCAAAAATTCATGCACAATTCACCCTCTGTTAAAATGCATCGAGTCTTGCCATTAAGGCATGGATGGCATCAAATCTTTGAAGGGGCCATTTTAGCCCCAAGGAAAGTCCTTACAGGGAGTGGGCTGAGAGCACGCATGCGCATTAGGTGAAGGTACAAAATTCACAGCGTCAACTAATGACCCGGCATGGTAACTACAGCAGATTCGGGGGGACGGAGGGGATTCCTCTGGATGCATGTAAACACAAAATTCGTCCGTGTCGACGCGGATCTTTTCCTCAAATTAACATACGAAAAAACCTGTTTCCCCCCATCGTGTCCGTGTAAATAGGGCCTAAGTTTCAACGATCAGAAAGCTGAAGTTATTGTGTTTAGCCCTAGCTCTACTGCTGTCTCTGTTCCTGTAAACCATGTGCGCATGGGGGGGTCGGGGGAAGGGGGGTCCGTAGGTCCTCTCACAGAAAATTTTGAACAACAGAGATGCCATTTCCTGCATTTTGGTGTATTTTAACTGGTTGTTATACATCAACATTTACCTACATTTGTAAACTCTTAATAAAATCATTATTTTGGAGAGGAACAGCAAGTTGTGTGTGCTGCAGCTCCGATTCTGTCGGGTGTCCTAACCCCCCCTCCTCCCTCCCCTCACGGTTCTGAGCTGAACTCCTCCGCTCCTGCTCCAGTCTCATGGCACGTTTGAAGCACCTGAAGGCTTCAGTTCTCTGTTGTCCAACTAAGGACGACCGGCCGTCCATCCAGCTTTTATTAAAGTAAATGGGGCTGTCTCTGACATTTTGACCGCTGTTGTTATTTTGACAGATTAGCGCCGTTGTTTTGAAACGTGACGTATAATCTGAATAACTTCAAACACTTCTCTCTTTGTAGTTTTAATGTATTTTTTACAGTAAGCTTTTTTTATTTATCATGTCTGAAATGTAGCAGGAGCTCAGACACCTGCTGATGTGTGCGCTGGGTAGAGATTGGAGACGTTTCTGTGCGTAACGTGCACTGTCTGCAGGGAATTTAATTATTCTGCTGAATAAATGATCGTTTCTGTTTCGGGGGTCAGAAAGGAGGAGGAGAGGGGGTGTTTTTCAGTGCACGGCCCCGCTGAGGAGGGACAATATTTGGAGAGGAGGAGGAGACGAGGACTCCGCGCAGCACCTCTGTGTGTAAATGTGACTATTTGATCCGTCCTCACCCCCAGAGGCTCCTCTCCTTCTCCTCGAAGGAGCGTGTAGCTGAGTCCGCGGGGCTGAGGGCAACGTCTCCTCTCGTTGTATTTTTAATAAATAATCAAAATAAAAATGTGCAATGACTGAACTTTTAGGGGCGGAGTTGACGGATCAGAACGGATCAAAATGAGAGCGTTCCCAGATCTTGTTCCGGCAGGATCCGGCTCAAATTAACCACTGATTGCACATAAGACCAAGACCTTTAATTATTGATTAGTATTGATTGTTTTTAATGACGTGAACATTAAAGATCAAGTGAACAGAATATAAAAAATCTCAAACTTTGGGTGCAGCAAAATGGCCTTCAAAATGTTTTTTTCTAAACCAAATGATTTGAAATGATTTTCTGTATGAATCATTGGTCAGCAGTGATTTACTATAAGCTTATCAGAATCTCTCAGTACTGAATCTAGAAAATGCTTTATGTATCAATCAGAACTGCCCCGTCAACAAAAATACAACAAAATGTCTCTAAGTGCTCACGTCCCTTGGGCCTTGTGTGTAGTGCAGAGTAAAATAAGTGAACTCAGTTCTCACAGTGGTTTCAATCTCGTTGAGTTTCAGTGTGGGGTGTAACTCTCTGCTGTAGACATCTTGGAAAAGAGGAATCTGTAAAAAACAAAAGATTGGACACATCATTAAAATGACTAACTTTAATATAAATTGTTTATTCTAGGCAGCTGGATGGACAGCACTATTTGTCTTGTCCTCAGTGAATGTTTCTGTTGTTTTCTAGCTTCTACACGTGAATTGTCTCGGCAGTGCAACAAGATGAACGTTAGAGATACCGCCTACCTTTATCATAAACAAATGTTTCTTTGAATAGTAAGTCCTCAATCAATTGTCAGTAGAAAACAAACCAAGCTAAGGTCATTTGACAGCCACTGTGCAACTTCCTGACAGAAAGCCCCCCCAGGTTTTAACCTGAGGGTCCGAGTTGAAGTGAAGTCTGTACAGTTTGCAGAGCCCTGAAAGCTACACCAAGAATGAATGAAAAGGACGTTACAACCTGAACCCTGAACACGTTGGGACATGGACTATAATATAAACACTAACTGAATGCAATACTTGCAAAACTCAAACATTTATTTATCACAATGGAACATAGGAAACAGATTAAATGTTCAAACTAAGAAATTACCCTAAATTAAAAAACAAGGTAATTTTGAATTTGATGAACACTGGCTGTAGGAGCAAGTCATAAATACTGGCTGATTTTGTTTTTTCATTATTTGTAAGCTATAATCATCAAAATTACAGGAAACGAAGGCTCAGAATATTTCACTCTACGTGTAATAATGAATCTATTTAATATATGAGTTTAACCCACTGGTCCTGAAAATGTGTGTTGGCGACAACCTCCTGATCTTTGATGGTTTGTGATGAGAAAACAGCTCTCTGTTGTCATTTTAAATGGTGTAATTCTCTGTTACAAATAAAGTCCAATTGTTTTTGTATTGAACATTGTTTGGTTCTGCTGGAGGTTTCTTCCTTTTAAAAGGGAGTTTTTCCTTTCCACTGTTGCCATTGTGCTTGCTCACGATGGGAGACTGTGACGAAGTGAAGATTTGAGTCTGACGGCTTCCTTAGATAGAAAACTTTACTTATTGACTTTTCTATGTATGTGAATGTTTCTGTTCAGTGCCCCGAGACAACTTTGTTGTGAATTGGAGCTATATAAATAAACTGAGTATGTATGTATGTATGTATGTATGTATGTATGTATGTATGTATGTA